AAAAATCTTCAAAAAAGTTTTTCAACATGGAACTTTCAAATACCAACTTTTGCCTGCACCTCACACAACATTCGTCTGAAGATGTTATATATATATATATATTTATATATATATATATATAATATATTATATATATATATTATATATATATATATGTCTAAGTCTCTTGCCGCCGTTGCTTCATCAATATCGATGCGCCAACTTCTCCGTGGTCGTCCTCTCTTTCTTCTTTCAAGAGGGATCTATTCCATTACTCTTCTAGGCCGTTTGTACTCTGGCATTTTTTTAACATGTCCGAACCAGATTAATTATTTTCTGTCTATTTGTCATTGATATTTCGCTCCATTTTCATTTCGTTTCTTATTTGTGTCAGATAATCCATTTCTGTCGTCATAAATTGTTTCTATTAGCTTTGGTGACGCCTCATACTTCCGTACCATAAAGTGTAATACTTTGGACTATATTACCGTAAATGTGTTTTTTGGTTTCTCGTCGAATTGTTTTTTTGCCAGAGAAGAGAGTTCAAGGCACGGGTCGCTGCTCTGCCCTTGTTTATTCTGTCCCTGATTTCATCTGCACTATTTCCCTTCTTATTGAAAATTACCTCCAACTATTTGCAGGATTGTAATAATGTGCAATAATTATGTGTATGGCATATTTATATTTAATTTTTATCATTATTTTTGCATACAAATTTGAAAATTTTAAACATTACGAAAACTAGAAGTAATAGAATAATTTTAATGCAGATATTTATTGGTGCAAAAACACCATTTTTGAATAATATGACAAATTTTAATTATCATGAAAATCGTAAAAACGATTCGAATTTTTATTAATGCGTAAGTACACGTTGCACTTCTCACAATAATGCACAGGAACTGCTTTACAACCAGATTTTCGATATCGTCCTCTTTTATCTTTCACAACGGGCCAATGTCCTATTTCATCCTGCCGAATATCCTTTTGAGGAATCATTTTTGTAGCTGCACTTTTGTGTTTTTTTGCTGCATGAAGATCATCAATAGAGCTACTGCTGGGACGTCCTAATTTTTTGGTAACTGTCAGTGTCTTTCCTTGCTTCATTAGGCTTTCGGCTATGCGACTCTTAAACTCAAACAGAGACAGTTCGTTTTTCTTTGGAACACCAAAATCATTGCAGTCACGTCTATATAAAAGCCAACAATTTACAACTGCCATATCCATAAAATGGAATAAAAAACGATGGTAATATTTCTTTGATCTAATTGTGATTCTGTATAGACCTATTAGTGAATTCATAAGATCTACTCCGCCCATGAATTTATTGTAAGTTCGAATTGCTGTGGGGCACTGAACATCTACAGTATCTTTTCTTGTTTTATCCCATCTTCTAATTGTATCAAGAGGTTTGGCAGAGGAAAAGTTGGAGATGAGCAATACTGCACGAGAGTCGTGCCATTTGATGATTCTGCAAGGTACAGTATCAGTTTTCAACTCTATTTCCTGAAACGATCCGCGTCCTCTTGTTTTCAGGATTTTGTCTGACAATAAAGGACACCTAGGAAGACGATTTGAGCGGACTGTTCCTAGACAATATATTTTCTTTTGAACTAGCTCATTCAAAAGAGGTATCGATGAAAACCAATTATCGATATAAAGAAGGTGATTGTCTTGTTGAATGCTTCTACAGAGTGTTACAACAATATTGCCGCTGGAACCAATATCATTGTATCCTGGAGTAGCGGAAATTTTTCCAGTATATATTTCAAAATCGTATGCAACACCACTGGAGCCAGCCAACACATAAATTTTGTAGCCCCATTTGTGAGGCTTTTTTGGCATGTACTGTTTTAGCCGGAATGACCCTTGAAAGGAACCATTTGCTCATCGACCACGACCATCTGCTCCTTTGGAATATTTCGAAATTTTTCTCCCAAATGTTCTACTAAGGGTCTAATCTTGTACAGTTTATCTAAGTTTGACGGATCAATTTTGGTATTATCGGAGAAATGTATGTTTTTTTATCGTTTCCCATCTGTCTCGACTCATTATTTCACGAACTGTAGTAATATCAAATTGAGAACTCCAATATAATCGAGTTTTTGGTAGTTTGATCAAAGACATAAAATATTGTACCCATAAATTGTTCTAGCTCTTTTATTGTCAACCCCAGAGGTTTATTGGGATTTGTTTGAACAGCAAATAAATTCGATTGGTAAGTAATCAAATTTAGAAAGTCATCGTCGAAAAATTTTCTAAAATAATCTATGGGGTCTTTTATAGAAGTAGCTTTTGGTAAGCTGTAGTTCCACATTGGAGTAACACTGTCAGTATTGTTTTTTCTGTTATATCGGTATATTCATTCTTATTGCGCGTACATTGTTCTTTTATTATTTCTTCACCACCATCACTAAGGTCTTCCTCAATTTCAGAACCAGAGTCCTCTTCTATTACCCATTCATCACTTTCATTTTCAGAATCAGAAACACTTACATCACTATCACTTGGTATGTCAATGGCTTGATGCCGTTTTCGTCCATAAAACACAGCTGGATCCATTTTGAACTATTTTAGTTACTTGACTCTATAACGCCGAACGTAACGAAATCGTAACGTTTACAACACGTGTTCAATCTTCAATTTACGACTGTTTATAGTGATAAGCATGAACTATCCATATACTACACAGAACTTTCCCGCTAATATCTATTTTACAGATTCCTTCCCGGTAAACATTCACTGATTTTGTCGAAATCAAAATTACAGTTATCTGTTAGCATCAGCCAACTTGTATCCTAATCTGTTTCGAGAAGCATGCGGTTGAAAAATTGGCCGGAGTGTGTCGCAGTGACTGTTTCAGTATGAGGCGTAATATTACGAATTCGTAACTTTCGGCATCGATGAGATTAGGTTAATAGTTTGCCTACAAATCGCTTTTGATTGGAACGTCAGATCTTCTTTTGCCGACTCCAGCCATTTTCTTCGGGGGCGGCCTCTTTTTTTTTTTGTATCAGCCTCCGTGTTTATTAATTCATTGGGAACTCTTCCTTCCTTCATTCTTGCTATATGTCCGAGCCATCTTAATCTTTGAATTTTAGCGAGTCTTGTTATTTTTGGTTGCCCATATATTTGCATTATTTCTTCATTCGTTCTTCTTCGCCAGATGTTCCCCTCTTTTACACCTCCGTATATCCTTCTAAGAATTTTTCGTTCCCATCTATCTAATTTTACTTCCATATCTTTATTTAGTGTCCAGGTCTCGCTAGCATAGAGTACTGTAGGTCGGATAACTGTTGTATATATTCGTTTTTTTGCTGTTCTGGATATTATCTTCGACCTCAGTATCTTAGTCAGGCTCCCAGCACTCTTACTACCTTTGGCCATTCTTTTTATGATTTCTTGGTTCTCTTCGTTCCTATTTGTTAGTGTCACTCCCAAGTAATCGAATTGGCTAACAACTTCAAAGTTATATTCTTTACTTGGGCTTTGTATCTTAAAGGACTGTCCTAGATGATTTTCGTTTCCCCTCATCACCATATATTTTGTTTTTTCTTCGTTTATTTCTAAACCATATTCCCTGGCTATTCTCTCTATTCTAGTAAAGATTTCTCTTAATTCTGCAGGTCTCCTTGTTATTAAGGTAACATCATCTGCATATGCTACGCATTGATGCCTGTGATGATATATTGTGCCTCTAGTGTAGATGTTACATTCTCGTAAAATCTTCTCTAAGATCAAATTGAAAAAATCTGTTGATAACGGGTCACCTTGTCGCAGACCTCTATTGGTGATAAAGCTATCCGAAACCCGTCCTTCTAACATGACTTTACTTTTAGTATCATTGAGTATGCATTTAGTCAGTCTTACTATTTTTGGTGGAAATTCAAAATATTCTAGTGCTTCATATACTTTATTTCTTTTTATAGTATCATATGCCTGTCTAAAATCAATAAACAGCATGTGTAATGTTAGGTTGAATTCATATGAGCTAGCTAAAATTTGTTTCATTGTAAAAATTTGGTCTATTACCGATCTGTTTGCTCTGAAACCTGCTTGATATTCACCTAGACAATTTTCAACTTTTGTTTTAATTTTATTTCTAATTGATATGGCCAGAATCTTATACACTGTATCTTGTAGAGCTATTCCCCTGTAATTTTTACATTCTGTAACGTCTCCTTTTTTATGCACTGGACATAAGATTGCTTCTTTCCACTGATTGGGTATTTTTTCTTTGATCCACACTTCGCGTATTAACTCAGCGATTTCTTCTTGCACCATTTCGCCACCTTCTTTTAGAAACTCAGCAATGATACCATTTTCACCAGGTGCTTTGTTGTTTTTTAAGTTTTTTATGATCTCTATAATTTCTTCCTTGGTAGGTACTTCTTCATTTACATCTGGGTCCCTTACTTCTTCATGTTGTAGTTGCGTTTGTTCTCTTTCATCTTGGTCGTCCGTACATAATATGTTCTCGAAATAATTGGCCCACCTTCTTAATTTATCATCTGTTCCACCTAACAGATTTCCCTCTTCATCTTTATAATATCTTGATGTGGTTTTGTACTGGGTTCGATCTCGTTTTATTTCTTGGTAGAAATTCCTGACTTGTACTATGGTTCCATTTCCACCATTCATCGTTTATACATATTTTCTGATAGCCGATTTTTGTTTCATTACCTTTTCCTTTTTCTTCTCTCGCCATATCTCTTAGCTCTTTCTGGGATCTTAGGATCTGAATAGTTAGTATTTATTAAAATAAAATAATAAAAATTAAAATAATAAAAAATCTGTGGTAAAAAAAGGCAGGAAGAAGGGATACCAATATACTGACAATAAGGTAGAGTAGTGCCGATTTACAAGAAAAGATATAACAAAGACTGTACAGATTACAGAGCATTTACTCTACTTAGCACTATGACCACATTGTATAAAATAATTATGTAAAAAAATCTCATTTAAGAATAGTACTAAAAAGAGAAAAAAAAACCTTTGTAATTGAGGTATTACCATATATTCAAAAAATTTATTATACAATATAAATATATAGATATAAATATACAAAATATGACTTATCTCACCAGAGTCAAAAAATACAAAAAATTCATTTAGTATGACCTAAATATATCTGTTTCACATTTGACTGCACTTCTTGATTATATATCAATTGCTTGATAATTTTATAATTGAAAAAAATATATAAAATATGTTTCAAATTATTATTTAAACTTTTATTATTCCACTAAATACTAGATACTTGATTTATTTCGACTTTCCTTTACGAGCTCTATCAAACAATCTGTAGACACAGATTTTGGTCTTTCGAGGGGCAATCCAAGAGCTCGGTCCCAGACGAGTGATGCCATCGTACCCAAAGCTCTTGATACTCCAAATAAAACGGTATAATAGCTCATTTCCGTAAGACCATAATACTGTAAAAGGACACCAGAATGAGCATCTACATTGGGCCACGGATTACTGACTTTTCCTAGCTGGGTGAGGATATCAGGTACGACTTCGTAAATTTTTGAGACTAATTGGAACATTGGATCGTTGGGTAAATATTGCTGCGCGAATTCTCTATGAGCAATATAACGTGGATCAGTTTTTCTCAATACAGCATGTCCGTATCCAGGTACAATTTGTCCTGCTTTGAGAGTTTTCCATATAAAATCTGCAAGTTGTTCTTTTGTTGCTTTATCGCCTATTTGTTCTCGAAGCCTATTGAGCCAAATCAGTACCTCCTGATTAGCTAATCCATGGAGTGGACCGGCCAATCCATTTATACCAGCGGCGTATGCTAGGTACGGATCGCTGAGAGTTGAACCAACTAAATGTATAGTATGAGCACAGGCGTTACCGCCTTCATGGTCACTGTGGATAGAGAGGTACAATCTCATGAGTTCTATAAATTCTGGATTGTCGTATCCTAACATTTTCGCTAAGTTGTAACTCCAATCTTTGGAAGAGTCAATTTTGCCGACTTTGGCACCTTTTTTAAAAGAGTTTTTGTAAATTATAGCGGCTATTATAGGAAGTCTGGCGATGAGATCCATGGCATCCTCATAAGCGTACTCCCAATAATCAGCCTTGGCAATTCCGCTAGCGTAGGCTTTTCGAAACTTGCTTTCACTGTTCATAACGGTAACTGCTGCTGAAAGTTGTGACAAGGGATGTACAGACTTTGGTATTATTTTCAATACTTTAATGACATGTGGTGGTAGTTCAGCTCTCTGGGCCCATTCTTTGGAAACTGCATTAGCTTGTGCTTGAGAGGGTACATTTCCAGTAAGCAGAAGCCAGAAAAAACCTTCTGGAATTGGTTCTTTTCCCCCTGCTGTAGTTGGAAGTATTTTTCTACATTCTTGTAACGGAATGCCTCTAAAACTGATACCTTCATTGGGATCTAAAACTGAAGTTTCTGTTACTAATGCTGTTAGTCCCCTCATACCTCCATACATCATGTTAATGGTTACATCTTGGACTTTAAAATTTCCATGTTCCTTACGGAACTCTTGAATTCGTTTTCGTTCTTGAGGTATTTTCTTTCTGAGTATTTCTTTAAGATTAAGTGAATCATCACTGTATTGTCTAATGGCCCTGGTAATGTCATATTTTACTTTAGACATGTAGAATGTAAAAATGTAGAATTTATCGGTATATGTTTGACAATTTACAAAAATATAAATGACAAATTAATTATTTAAAAAATTGAAAAATATTTAAAGACAAGCATCATTAATAATAATGTCAGGTCACAGAATAATAAACGTCAGGTTGTCATAAATTACCTAAAGTTGAAAGTTTTTAACTAAAAATAGAACAAATTCATAGAACATCATAACTCATAGAACAACATCAATATGTGAATTTATTCAGTCTAATGACTGTTTAATGACATAAAGGTACTAGTAAAATTTCATTGAACTGGTTTACGTTTGTCACACTTGCCGAAAAATAAGTTTCCAAACGTGGAATCAATAAGATAATGAAAAAAAAACCTCACACAAAGTAAAAAAGAAATATACAAGCTGAGAGATAAAGACGGAAATGCAACAACAGATAAACAAAACATTCTGAAAATAACCAGAGAGTTTTATAAAGACCTCTATACCAGCCAAAGACCACAGACAATTTCCCGACACGAGTAAAGACTCTCATAAATCAGGGATCGGAAATACTTTTACCCATTACTGTGTCAGAAGTAAGAGCAGCTTTAAAGGAAATGAAGAACCATCGATCGCCTGGTGACGATGGACTCGTTATCGAGGCAATAAAAGCAGGTAGAGAAATTTTATTAAAATCAGTAAGCGAACTGTTTAATAAATGCTTACATGCGCGTACGATTCCAAAAGACTGGAACAATGCAGTAATATTCTTGTTACACAAAAAAGGCGATATTACTAAATTAGAAAATTATAGACCCATCAGCCTCTTAACACATATGTACAAACTCTTTATGAAAATCTTAACAAAGAGGCTAACACCTAAACTTGATTTCTATCAGCCCAAAGAACAGGCAGGCTTCAGGGCAGGATATGGCACAAATGACCATTTGCATACCATAAAGATCTTAATAGAAAAGTGCATCGAGTACAACATACCACTGGTTCTTGCATTTGTCGATTACGAGAAGGCTTTTGATTCTGTAGAGTTTGAAACAATACTGGAAGCCCTAAATCAAAGCCGAATAGATTACAGGTACACGACACTAATCAAAAACATCTACGAGAACGCTACATCAAGTATACGACTACACGAAGACACAGAAAAATTCAGCTTAGGTCGAGGAGTTAGACAAGGAGACAATATTTCACCAAAATTGTTCACGGCAGCTCTAGAGTCAATATTTAAGAGCACTCAATGGCAAGATATGGGCATCAATATAGATGGAGAAAGATTAAATCACCTAAGATTTGCAGATGATGTTGTATTAATCGCAGATAATTTACAAGATACAGTTTCTATGATGCATTCGCTTAAAAGTCTGTCTGAAAGAGCAGGATTAAAGATAAACTTTGAGAAAACTAAACTTATAACAAATCTCGTAATGAGTGGAAATATAACTATTGACAATAATACCATACAACAAACAGACACTTACAAATATCTGGGACACGAAATCAAAATAAGCAGAGACAATCAAACACATGAAATACAGAGGCGAATAGGCCTAACTTGGGCAGCATTTGGCAAATTAAGCCATATTCTAAAAAGTTCAATTCCCATGTGTCTCAAGCGAAAGGTTTATAACCAATGTGTTTTACCTGTACAAACTTATGGAGCAGAGACTTTAACACTCACGCAAAAATCTGCGAATAAACTCAGAGTTACACAACGAGCCATGGAACGTGCAATGCTGAACGTGAGCCTTCGAGACCACATAACAAACCAACAAATTAGGCAAAGATCAGGAGTTCAAGACGTCATCGAAAGAACCACGTCGCTTAAGTGGAACTGGGCAGGGCACTTAGCCAGAGCACAAGATGGACGGTGGACAAGACGTATTATGGAATGGAGGCCCAGAAACTATAAAAGAAGCCGAGGACGACCACCGACTAGATGGACCGATGATATAAAACGTGTAGCGGGAAACTGGCTACAAGCGGCCCAGTGTAGAGAACACTGGAAAGAACTGAGGGAGGCCTATGTCCAGCAGTGGACGCGATTGGCTGATTGATGATGATAGGTAATACATAGTTCAGAGAAAAACGGTTTTGTTAGCTTTATCGACTATCGAAACCATCAAACGTGACAACCGTATATAACTATTAAATCTTTAAAAACTCGATACTAAGAACATCTAGGTTATCAAAATTCTGCTGATATCCAGAGATATGGTAGATCATAATATTCACATTACTAAGAAATTCGACAGAACTGCATTCTTTCGACACTGTTATATACGGATCAACTCCTATACGAAACAAATATTTGATAAAGCACTGGAAATGTACAAGCAAGTCATCAAGAATATTCACGTACCAAGTTATCTTGAATATGTGGATATTCAAGATAACTTTAATTCAATAATGAGCGACGCTAATAACCACTTATACTTCATCTAATTTACTTACCGTTGCACGTCATTATCATTGATAGATATAGAAGTTGACATAGTTGCCAAAGTATAAAAAAATCCTGAATCCATTTTAAATCAAATAGGTCACATAATTATTGCGAAAGTATTACCATCTCGTTACAACGACTCTTTAAATTCTTACGTGACATTTTTGAAATAAAATACACTAATTTTGTTCTAAACAGAACTGATTTTATTAAATAAGTAAAAATATAAAACAAGAGGTATTCCCTTTAAATTCAAAAAAATAAAGTACAAAAAGTGTCAACACCGCAACTGTCGAATAAATGTTACCAATTTATGCCAAAATATCACCTTATTAACTTACTCTAGTGCTTTCTATGTTTTACTAGAGCCGCTAAAATATTATTCGCGACCTGGGTTTAGTTCCATGCTAAACTGGACATAGGTTTCTTGTTAATCAGATTACAGATTTCTTTAAAACAGAACTATCCGATAATAGGCAACTATTCGATATTATGGCACTTTACTCTATATAATATAACAAGCGAGTCTTCTACAGCTGGCGCCGCTTCTCGCATCCTAATTTCCAGCGTTTTCTGTCGAAGCAATCTTAAGTTGTTAGATCTATGGCGGTCATTGCATCGTCGACATCGTCTCTCCAGGATCGTCTTGGTCTACCTTGTTTTCTTCTAGTTGGCGGAGTTCATTCTTCTATTTTTTTTGGCCATCTATTTTCTGGCATTCTCTGAAGGTGTCCATACCAGCTAAGTCTTTTGGTTTCGATTGTGTCTATTATGTCTAGATCGATTTCCATTTCTCTCCGAATATCTTCGTTTCTCACCCTATCAAGTCTAGTGAGCTGGCAACATCGTCTCCAGTAGTTCATTTCCATGGCCCTAATTTTTGATTGGTTTCTTTGGTTTATTTCCCAGAGTTCGGCGCCATACAGCCCAATACTTTCTATTATTGTTTTGTAAATTCTTCTTTTATTTTCTTTTGTTATTTTTTTATTCCATAATAGTCCGTGTAGCTGTCTAGTGGCTGATCTCGCTTGGCCAATCCTGCATTGTATTTCTTCGCTACTTCCTGCTTTTGATGTTATTTGGACTCCAAAGTATTTAAAATTGTCTGTTGATTTTATAGTTTCCATTTCGATTTGTAGGCTTTCTGGTTTTTCTCCTACAACTAAGTACTCAGTTTTTTGTATATTAATTGTGAGACCCCATTTGGTGTACTCATCTTCCAGTTTTCTAAGCATGTAGCCTATATCACTCTCGTCTTCAGCTAGAATGGCTTGGTCGTCAGCGAAGTGTATCGTGTACAATCTATCATCTCCGATTGGGTTGCACATATTGCAGCACTTTCTTCTCCACAGTGAGAGTGTCTCATTTAGATATATTTTGAAGAGTATAGGTGCTATGCAGCAGCCTTGCTTTAGGCCCTTACCTATAGGAATTTCTCTAGTTAATCTATTTCCAGTTTTAATGTTTGCCGTCATATTTTTGTAGAGCTGTTGTACTGCTTGTATATTTTTTTGCTTATTCCTTGTTTTTCCATAGCTACCCAAAGCATTGAAAGTGGTACACTATCGTATGTCTTTGTCAGATCTATAAAGACTATACGAGTTGAAAGGTTGTGGGCTAATCTTTTCTCGATAACTTGCTTTAGAGAGAATATACTGTCCATACAGGATCTGCCTGCACGAAAGCCATTCTGTTCTTCTACATCTGTCATCTCTTTTTCAATTTTATTTTTTATTATTTTTCCATATAGTCTTGAGAGTGAATTTATGTCACTTAGCCCCCTGTAGTTTGAACAATTCTTCTATCTCTTTTTGTAGATGTGTTAATATGTGCTTTGTCCACTCCGGTGGTAAGTCGTCTCCATTATAGAATAAGGTGAAGACATACGCCAGTAATTCCCGTAATACTTGTGGGCTATGTTTTAATAATTCATTTGGTATACCTTGTGCTCCGCATGACTTCCGATTTTTTAGAGTTCGTATTGCATTCTCGACTTCCTGTACTGTTATTTCATCGTCTTCACTGAATGCCAGTTCATATGTTGTTGTGCTGATGTAAATTTGATGTATTTGTATTTGATTAAAATTTGAAAAAATAGTAAATTAAAATCAATATCAACCGGTTTTGTGAATTTTTAATAATTTTGTTTATTTAACTAATAATGAATTTTTGAGGAAAGCATTGCCTGCTTAACCACTTTCTTCAACAAAATTTACAACGAAGGAAAAATACCAGATGATTGGTTAGAGTCACTGTTTATAACATTACCAAAGAAAAGCAGGCCCACCAAATGCAGCGATTTTAGACTAATCAGTTTGATGAGTCACACACTGAAGATACTCTTACGAATTATACAAAACCGAGTATTCCTTCTATGCGAAAGTAAGATGGGTGATAAGCAATTTGGATTTAGAAACGGTCTAGGAACTAGAGAGGCACTATTCTGTATGCGCGTTCTATTACAAAAAAGTTGTGAATTCCGAAAGAATGTTTATGTTTGTTTCATCGACTTCGAGAAGGCGTTCGACAGAGTCCAACACAATACACTTTTCGACTGCCTACGGGCAGCAGGACTTGACCACTATGATATAAGACTGCTGAAATACTTATATTACAATCAAGTAGCCTCTATCCAAATTGGAGACAGTCCCACTGAAAAAATACCCATCAAACGTGGA